TTTGGTTTTTCGAGACAGGGTTTCTCTGTGTAGCTTTGCGCCTTTCCTGGATCTCGCTCTGTAGACCAGGCTGGCCTCAAACTCACAGAGATCTGCCTGCCTCTGCCTCCCGAGTGCTGGGATTAAAGGCGTGGGCCACCACCGCCTGGCTGATGACATTTGTTTTTAACAGATGGTCAAGTGATAGACACAAAGCTGTCTAGATCTAGCCAAGTTCCTCCCTCAGCAGCCCAGACTTGGAGGGGGCTGTTGAGGCAGAAGACCGGGAGGCAACTTATCACTTAGCCCAGGCTAGACCTGTCATTGCTAAAATAGCCCAATTCCGGCCCGTATTACCTTAGAAGGGAAGGGGCTCAGGCCAGGGACCTGGATGTTATTCTTGGTTCCTTCCTCAACACTGGGTCATGGGCAAGTGCTGCCACAAGTGTCTGCATCTTTCCTGTCCTAACATCCAGACAGACCGACCCTCACCTAGCCACTGCCCAGGACTGCCTATCTGCCACGGTTACACTGCCTGGTTGGCTTTCCTAACCAAGTTTGGAAATTAGGACATTCTGTCCAACACACAGATAACATCTCTACCTCCTCAAGGTTCTTCCCTCTGCCCTTTATTTTCCCTCCTCTTGTACTTCCCATTTCCTCTTCTCTGCACCCCTCCTGCCTCACAGAAGTTCAAAACCCTGATAAACAAGTTGGCCCCTCACTTCAGGAACACCTTTCTGTTACCATACACCAGTCAACCTTTGAATCCCCTCATAAGCTCAGATGAGGTTCCATCTGCAAACCCCAAGCCTCTCCAACCTGAAGCCCCAGGGGCCCCGATAAACACACAGACTGTGATGGTTTCTCCGTGTGGCCATCACAGCAATCCTGAAAGTACTGGCCTGTCCTCACATGGGATGACCAGCACCCCGAGACCTACAGTATGAGGGTTCATCTTTGTACCTGCCACATGTCAAACGCAAACAGCCATTGCCATGCTTACATGAATAAAATAACAGAATCAAGGTCTCCATACAAGGGTCAAACCCAGACAACTCCATTAACACTTTCAGCTGCCACTTAAGCTAACCACCCCATGAAGAAATTAAATGAAGCCAGAGGACCTAAGCTAGTGTTTCCAGTTCCTAACTCTCTCCCCCCTCCTCCTTTTCCAAGACAAAACAGAATGGCTGCAATCAGGGCCCTAGAATAAATCAGTCTCCGGGGCCTCAAAGCAAACAAGAGAGTGAATTATCAATGGCCCCTATTGTTAGTCCCAAAACAAGAAGAGAAAGTACTTCCCTGCCGAGTAAAGACAGGGTTTGGAGGTAACTTTGAAGTCCAAAGGTCTTTTTTATCACAACAGGCAGATGCTGTACCTACACAATAGGTATCATTTATCCTGTTCCATTGACTCACTCTGGCTTCTCTGCGGCTCGGAGATAGCCGTGTTCTTTTCAGCAGTAGCAGAACACGAAGATCCTCCACCCCCCAGGAGCCAGGTTCCGGAAGTTCTAGTGGCCCACAGGCTGGATCGCTGTGTTCCTCCCAGCCCGACCTCCACCTGCTCTTCACTACTAGTCCCTCCGAAAGGTTTTCAGATAAGTGCACAACGCCGAGTGTCTCCTGGGGAGATCAGGTGAGGGAGTACTGAGATGTTGCCCAGATTTAGTTCCTGATTCCAAGTTAAGCTCACAGTGCACCACCATAGCCATTCTGCAGCTTTTTTTTTTTTTTTTTTTTTTTTTTGCCCCTGACAACCAGTTGCCAAAAAACTGAGCGCCTCACCCAAAAGGCTGGGAAGCAGAGCCCAAGGAATCTGTTTCCATCTCTGCGCCTCCTCCCCCATCTACTAGCTTCAGTGACCCCTTTTAGAAACTCCTATGTCTGTGCATGAGATTCCTGGGATGATTGGTCGGACGACAAGACCCTGACCCAGAGACAGGCCAACGATAAGCCTCTCCGTCGACTGCCCCCTTCATTCAGCTCTTCCCCATCTCTTTTGAGTCTTGAGACGCTTTTACCAAGTCTCAAGCGCCTCTCTCTGGGGCTAAGACTGGGGGAAAGAACTCGTGTACCAAAAGGCCACAGCTAACAAACTCTGGCTCACTCTCTTCTGTCTCTTCTGATGCAACCTAAAGGAGGGGGCGGGCCCTCTTGCTCCCAGCTCCCGCGGCCGCTGCCACGTTCTCGCCTGCCCGTGGGAAGCTATCCCGGCCGGGGCGTGGCGGCGACCTCCACGCGGGGTCTGGGCGCCCGCTGGCAACTTTGTGCCGCTGAGCCCGGCTCCGGCCTCGCCGCTGTGACCAACTGGCACGATTTCGCTTTCGCTTTGCTCCGGAGGTCCCGCGTGGCTCCCCTCCGAGATTGCCGTGGGCCCCTGCGTGGTCCCCCGCGCGGCCCGGGCCGCGGCCTCACCCCAGCCTCTCCTTGCTCTCCTCCGGGCTTAGCTGATCGAAGGTCTTGGAGTCCTCCTTGCCCAGGAAGGCCTCGTGATCGTACTGGAAGCTCTGGTTGTCCTCGGGCGGCCGCTCGCCCAGCTCCGAGTCGGGCCGCACCACGCGCTCCTTGCGCACGGTGGGCTTGGCTCGCAGCGTCAGCGCCAGCGCCAGCAGCAGCAGCAGCCCCAGGGCGAGTCCCAGGCGGCCACCGTGCGCCATGGTCGCGAGCAGAGGATGGTGGCGGGGCAGTAGGGGTTCGCAGCGCCGCAGCCGCTGTCCCCTCCCCAGCGAGGGGCGCGCCCGGCTGGCGAAGGAAGGCTCGGGCCGCCCCACTCACACGCCCATTGGCCGCGGCGCTGCCGGGGGAGGCCGGGGCCGCGGAGCCACGTCGCCAGCCCGGGTGGTGGGCGCCGGGCTCGGGTTTCGCCTCGGCCCCTCCCCGCGATCTGGTTGCGAGGGGCGGGCCCAGACGAAGGGGGCTGCGGACTGGAAGGCTCTCTGCACGACCGGAAAGAAGTTCTTTATTAGGGGGCGTGGGGGGAAGCAACAGATGTTCGGAGTGATAGCTCTTCCTCCGGCGTAGAGAAACAGAGCTCCCCCTCAGCTTTAAACTGAGAGCCCGAACCTCAGTCGCAGGTTTGCCCAGAGATGGGCACTTAAGCCCAATTCGACTCCAGTTAACACAGTTTGCTTTGTGGTTACCTGCACAAGAGTCTGGAAGGAGGCCAGGATGGGCGTGGTCCCCCAGATTAGGGAGGAGGCAATCTCAACATCCAGGAGATAAGGCTGTAGGGCTGTGGGAGGGGACCTGTGAGAAAGGAGAAGTCCTTTCTAGCCCCTATAGGGGAGAGGCTTCCCAAAAGAAACAGAGACACCAGATTATAATGCTGTTCTTTCTGAATGTTTCCAAGTCATTTTACAAACCCACTACGTGATTTAATTTCTACCAGCATATCAAATCTGAAATAAAGATACTAATCAGAGATGGTCTATATTATATAACTTTCTGAATGACAGAAATGTTCTCTACATGGACTGTCCTATATGTAGTGACCATTGAATAGTTGACATAGAGCCGGTCCCAGCTCAATAGCTGAGTTTAAATGTAAATAGCCACGCATAGCTACTGGCTGTCACACTGATGATGCAGGTCTGAACTTAATCATTCTTTTCACAAGAATGCATGAAGGGCTGTTGGTGTTGGGATTCTATTAAAGTATCAGAGGGTCATTGGATAGTCTAAAACAGAGTTTCTCAACCTCTGGGTCACACCCCCTTTGGGATTACACACCAGATATTTACATTGCGACTCATAACAGTAGTAAAATTACAGTTATGAAGTAGCAAGGAAATGATTTTATGGTTGGGGGTCACCACACCATGAGAAACTGTATTAAAGGGTTGTAGCCTTAGGAAGGTTGAGAACCGCTGCTCTAAAGAGTTGCAGGAAACTGTGGTTGGAGAAATCTCCCCCATGCCCAGCCCTAAGAACTATAGTACCGCCCGGGCTTGTTTTCTGCTCACCTCCCTCACCTTCTTAACATTCTCAAGGAAAGTTCATTGGTCTGTCTTCTTGCCCTTGTAATAAGGAAGTCAGGACACCATAGCAGAGATGCAAAGAACCTTCTATAAAGACCATTTTCTGCTAACAAATTAAAACAATGGGCTGCTACATCTAAGTTGGTTGTTTTGTTTTGTTTTGTTTTGTTTTGTTTTGTTTTGTTTTCCAAGACAGGGTTTCTCTGTGTAGCTTTGCACCTTTCCTGAATCTCGATCTAAGTCTTGAGGGAATAATGAAGAACAAGACAGCCATGGTTCTACACAGTGTATAAAGTGGATCAAGCAGGGAAGGCTGTCTGGAGTGAATGATACATAGTAACGGAGACTAGAGATAAGTAGGTAAGCCAGGCCGGGAGCTGTGGCTTGTGAGGGTCCTATGTTAGCTGGCAGAGGACAGAGGAGTTGGAAGTAATGCTCTGTGACCTTGTACAACCCCTCCATTTGTCATCGAGACCTGGCCCATGCGAAGGGGGCGGGGAACGTCCAGTGTCTGATGGATCTAGTGTTCCTTTGTTGATTTTCTATTGGGGTAAGAAGTGCTGTATTTGAAACTAGAAATGTCTCAGTTGTTGGTATAGAGGTGTGGACTTTCAGCAAAGGAAACACATTGCTTTGGGGATGAAATGCTCCCTTGATTGTTAACTTGGCTGGAATCAAGTAAGAGACATTCCTCTGGGCATGTCTGTGAAACATTTCCAAGAAGTATTAACAGGAAGGAGGCCCTTAGAGAGGGCAGCTCCCAGATGCAGAGCCTAGGGGAAAGCAGGGCAGCTCGCCACCTTTACCTCATGCTGGTGAGTATTGCCACTGTGGTCAGACTGCAGCTTCTTCAGGCTTCCAAGGTGGACTGAAGACCAGTGACTCTCCAGGCTTCTTCTGACCCTTCAGCACTAGATTAGGGCCGAGCAGCTCTCTCAAATCCTCAGCTTCTCCAGAACACTGGTGGCCACCAATGGACTAGCCAGCTCCTATACTGTAAGCCAATCTAATAAATCCTCTTTTACAATACAATATTTATTGCAACTTTTACAATATTTGTTGCAGAGTATTTTACACTGTGAAGAGGTATCTTTGCCAAGGCTCCTTCTGATTGGTTCAATAAAGAGCTGAATGACCAATAGGAAGGAAGAGGCCTAGATAGGAAGAGGTTAGGAGGGACTTCTGGAGACAGAGAGGACTCTGGGAAGAGAAAGGTGGAGAAGCCTGGAGACACGGAGAGGAAACAGGAAGTACAAGATGGAAGAGAGCTAGCACCAAGTAGATTACATATAAATGGGTTCATTTAAGTTAAAGAGCTAGTTAGGAACAAGCCTAAGCTACAGGCTGAGCTTTCATAATAAATCTCCGTGTCATTATTTGGGAGCTAGCTGACAGGACAGAAAAAGACTCATTACACTTACTTATCCTGCTGTTTCTTTTCCCTGAGAGAATCCTGACTAATGAACTTTTCAAACACAAATGCCTTGGGGTTAAGTGGCTTAGTGCCCTCTGTTCACAAGGCAAAGGGGATATAAATTGAGTTGGGGAGGAGAGAAGGAGAGCTTGGAAAGGGGATGGGAAAGTGAGTGGAGACTGGCTGGGCTCCCTGGAGTTCAGTCGGAATGTCAGGAATGAAGGTGGCCCAGCTTCACGCTTGCTACAGTTAGGCTTCCTGCCACACGCTTCCCACAGATTGTTTCCCTGTGGGAATTCCCCGCTCAGCTGTGAATCCGGAAGCTTTCATGTAATTTCCCCTGGAGCTTGCCTACATTCTCTTCCTGCATTTTTTTTTTCCAGTCTTCCCTGGAGAATTAAGAAGTCCCCTCAACCAAGTGATCAGGAAAAGTGATGATGCCAGCTGACCGAGGTTCTCCACTAAACGATTATTTTCTTTCCTTTTTAAGGCTTGCTTTTTCTCTCCCCCCCCCCCCAGCTTATATGGGGAGACTGAATGATGAAGCACATTTTCGCTTCCTAAGTTAACCATCATCCATAATGAGACAAAGGATCCCCCAAGCAGGAGGAGGCACGTAGCTGAGGGCTGAACCAGTGCAAAGGAAAGGCAGTTTCAAATAGTTGAATTGATAGGTTAGGGTATGCCGATTTGTTTGTTGCAAGTAATACCATCCAAACTCAGACTGAAAGTTAAGATAACATTATTATTTCATGTATCAAAAAGTCTTAACACGTCTTTGTGTGGGTGTGTGGTTTTTTTGTTTGTTTGTTTGTTTGTTTGTTTGTTTGTTGGGGGGGGGTTGGCACCTTTGTTCCGAGTCCTGTCTGTGGTTAGATGTACATAGTCTGGCTCATGAGCATCCAAGGATTCTCCTGCTTCAGTAGCATCCAGCTTTCCATGGGTTCCAAACTAAGGTCCTCAGATTGGTTGCACAAGCGCTTTAGCCACCAGCCTAGTCCTCTGCTCAGAAAGTCTTGAGTTAAATCAACTTGGGACCGGCTCATGCACATGGCTCAGGGGCATCATCAAGGAACCAGGTTTTAAAGTTTTTTGTTTTTCTCCAGTAGCAAAGAAACAGTTTTCTTCCTGACTTTCCTACCAGATCCCCTCTTCTCATTGGCCAGAATGGTATGGAAATTCTACCCTAACCCGGTTGATTAGGCCAATCAAAATAGCTGGAAAAGTACACAGAATCCTCAGAAGTCCATCCTGAGGGTTCTGGCAGGAAAGAACAAGGCAGATGGTTAGAGATACCACAAGGATTTGTAATTAACTGCTGTGTTTAAAAGTTTTTGCCTCCTCTCCACCTTCTGCCTCCCCATCACTCAGAGTCAGAGACAGTGGTCAAGATTCAACTCAGAGGTCATTTATTTCATGGCATTTTCCCTTAGATCTCAGATCAGACTCAGTAATTTCTAACTCAAAATGCCCAGAGTCTTTGCATCTCATACATGGCTTTTTCAGTCTGATTTGTGCTACCACCTTCGTTTCAGTTTCTCCTAAGTCAAATTCCCTAAAAAGGACGAACCAGTATGATTCCTGTCTATATACATAAATCCAAGAACTGTATCATTTAGTGACTTCTCCTTGAAGTTAATCAAAAATAAAAGCTTGCCATGAGGCTGGGGACCATATTCTTTTTGTTCATTGCATAGCCACTATCTAGCTTAATACCTGGCCATAGTTGGTACCTCAGTCACATCTGAGTGCATAATAAAATACTAATGCCTACCAACTTTTGTTTCTGGTTAAGACAGAGAAAGGTAGTGTCTTAAGTTTTTATTACTGTGAAGAGACACCATGACCATGGCAACTCTTATAAAGGAAAACATTTAATCGTGGTAACTTGCTTACAGTTCAGAGATTCAGTCCATCATGGCAGGGTTCATGGCAGTATGTAGGCAGATGTGGTGCTGGAGCTGATTCCTACATCTTGACTCAGATGCAACAGGAAGCTGACAGACTGTCACACCCAGTGAAGCTTGAGAAGAAGACCTTAAAGCCCGCCCCCACAGTGACACACTTCCAACAGAAGGTGTGGCCCAGATTAAAGGTGTGCCCTCCAGCCTCAAGGTCTGGATTAAAGGTGTGCCCTCCAGCCTCTTCCAACAAGACCACACTTCCTCCAACAGGGCCACACCTCCTAATAATGCCACTCCCTATAAGCTTATAGGGGCCAAATACATCCACACTACCACAGGTAGAGGCTGCATTTACCCTCACTTTCCCTTTCAACACATACACACAGCATAGTGGACATCAAGCAATGAAGGGCACTGAGAATAATCAAGGTGAGTTCTATTATTATCTCAGCTTATTGCCTTGAGCAGAATTTCCAGCTGTGGAACAAGGAATGAGAACGGAGGGGAATATCCAGGAAGACTA